AAAACAAAAACAAGCAGACCCAGATGGCTTCACAAGTGAATTCTACCAATATTTAAGAAAAATTACCAAGCAAACACAAACCTTTCTAAAAAGTTGAACAGGAAGTAACCATTCACAGAATAGCATTACCTTTATAATAAATTGAGACAAAAATACAAGAAACAAAGATATAAACAAAAATTTTTTCGAAACTTAACCAACCATATCCAACAATATAAAAACTGATAATGCATCATAAGCAAGAGGAGTTTATCCCAAGAATGTGAGATTGGTATAATATTTAAAACATGAAAATCAAAGTAATTCATATCAAACAAAAAGAAGAAAAAAATATTTATCTTGATAGATATAAAGACAAACATTTGACAAAATACATCTACTCTAAAACAGAAATAGAAAAGAACTTCAATCTGATAAAACTTTGAAACTATGGCTAACTTAATACCTAATTTTGACTTTCCCCCTAAGTTCAGAAACAAGACAAAAACACCTTTGCTCTTTCTACTTATATTCTACATTCTACTGGAGGTTCTAGCTAGGGCAATTAGGCAAGAAAAATAAAAATATACCTAGATTGGAGAGGAAAAGATAAACTTTATTTAAAGACAATATAAATTTGTAGGAGTTCTTTTGTGAAGTCATCTGCACATTTGCACATTTATGGATAAATGTGATGAAAAATTTTGCCAATATTTATAGGCATTATATCAAGACCTTAGTTCAGATACAAGCTTTGTAGATTCACAAAATTGTTTTATGGCTAAACATAAACAAGTGCTCAACCAACTTAAAGTATACAGAATTCAATCTGCAATGGAAAAGGAAAACCTGTGCATTTTGTATTCAAGAGTTCATTATTCTATGCTGCTATCAAGAAAACTCTGAATTATTAACTTCAGCTGAACAGACTAAAATGATTTCAGGTGTTCTCAGTTTACATGTTATAAATAATCATCAATAGACTAATGTTCAAATTAGTTCAAGTCAATTTAAGACAAATATTTGCTTTCTCAGCACAGCACAAAGCAAAACAAGTTTAATATTCAAAATATATTACAAAAAAATAACAGAAATGCTACATTTATGATGCAAATGAGTATTATATTTTACGTTAGACAATATAAACTAATGTTCCTTTGGATAAAAGCTTTAATACTTAAAACTGGAAGTATTCTGAGTAATCCACACAGCAAGGGTCAGGAATTTGGAATTTCAGCATTAACCCAGCCTTCCTCCTGACCTCCTATAACTGCTAAACCTCCAGTTGCATTGTAACTGAGCCCCTGACTCTGAACCTACTCTCAAATCCAGAATTTTTTTTTCTAATGGTTTCATTTATTTATTCATGAGAGAGAGAGAGAGAGAGAGAGAGAGGGAGAGAGGCAGAGACACAGGCAGAGGGAGAAGCAGGCTCCCTGCAGGAAGCCCCTTGTGAGACTCAATCACAGGACCTCATTATCATGCCCTGAGCAGAAGGCAGATGCTCAACCACTGAGCCACCCAGGCATTCCTCAAATCCAGAATTTAATCCTTAATTATAGGGAATTATTTTCAGGCCTCGTTTCCCCCAAAGCCTGTTTTCCCTAACGTGTCTCTACCTGGAAGTTGTATGTCAGACTGGGATTTTAAGACCTCCTAATATCTATGGTTGCTAGAGCCATTGCCAAGGTATTGACTGTCAGTGCCCAGTAGTCCTTAGGAACCATTCGACAATGAGTCTGGTCTGGCCTAAACAGAAGAACTAAGATTCTGACATCTACAAATGTTGGAAATTTTGCCTCATCCTTATAACTTCACAAAAGAATGCCTATTTCCATGTTAAACATAAAATGCAGTCTGAGGGCAGCCCCAGTGGCTCAGTGGTTTAGCGCCGCCTTCAGCCCAGGGTGTGATCCTGAAGACCAGGGATCAAGTCCCACATCGGGCTCCCTGCATGGAGCCTGCTTCTCCCTCTGCCTGGGTCTCTGCACCTCTTTCTCTCTCCCTCTTTCTCTCTCTCTCTCTCTCTCTCTCTCTCTGTCTCTCATGAATAAATAAATTTTTAAAACTTTTAAAAATAATAATAATTAAAAAATAAAATGCAGTCTGATAACAAAGTGTTCAAAAATATAATTTTATACCTTTTCACATAAACATGCATATAAAGATAGTTTTGATTATAGAAAGATAAATTTATGTATGTGTCATGTATTGAGAACAATTACATAAGAACTTATTTTAAAAATATGTATTCTATAGGTTATAAATTGATTTAATGTCAGCAACCAAATTTTTGAAAATAGAAAAATATCACTAATACCTTTGAAAGAAGAAATGTAAATTAATTCACATATTTTAATTTCATGAGATTCAGCCAAGTAGTACACTTCTTGGGACCAATTAAAATTATAATCTTCAGGGAACCCTGGGTGGCGCAGCGGTTTGGCGCCTGCCTTTGGCCCAGGGCGCGATCCTGGAGACCCGGGATCGAATCCCATGTCGGGCTCCCGGTGCATGGAGCCTGCTTCTCCCTCTGCCTGTGTCTCTGCCTCTCTCTCTCTCTCTGTGACTATCGTAAATAAATAAATAAAAAAAAAAAAACCTTTAAAAAAAAAAAAAAAATTATAATCTTCAAATTTTCTATTTGCCTTCCTACTATTACTACAACACTAAATTATATTTTATCTACATTAAAAGTAATAAAAAAGTAAACTATTATCTATGAAAAATATTTGATAATATAAGTAAGCAAGAACTATTTAAAATTTTATTAGGACATCAGAATTAGATTTCATTTTTTTTAAACCAAATCATTAAAAAATGGATACCAAAGACTAGAGAGTAATTATTTCTTTTTTAACTAATCATTCTCCAACAGATAGAGACCTAGTGTGAAATACTTAGCATAGCTGAATTACAATACAGTTGGATTACATCATCACTTGCTCTGGATGAATTTATATATGGATATTTTTAATATAGGGCACTAATTTGAGAATGGTAGCCACGCATTAAGTAACAGACTTCATAAAATTAACTATTTTGACAGGTTGAATAGTAATGCTTAAAACAAAACTACTTCTACTCTTGACTTAGTAAGGGATCCCTTGCACATAAACTGAATTTTGAAACAGAGTAAGACTTGTAGTTCATCAATTAGAATATCAACTACAAATGGGTAAGCTCCATGAATATCTGGGAAATGCTGCTTGAATTTCAATAACTTAAAAACAGCAAATGCTCAGTAAATATTTGATTATCTAAACCTTTCTTAATACAGGAATAATAATTAGGTACATTAAATTTTGAAAAATCTATAAAATAATCATCCAGTGTTGGAACCTCTGACTCCAAAGTAGGTATATGATCTTTACACATACCATTTTTTAAATTTTATCATTTCAATGATTTAAGATAATTACAGAAGCATTTCAAAAGATATGTTTACATTAATCAAGAGATCATGATCTCAAAATACTGGCTGGGGTACATGATAAATAAGTAAGTAGAAAAGAGAACTTTAAACACCAATTCATCTTCCCTAAAAAAGAAAACAAAACAAAACAAAAAACAGGAGAGACACTGCAAAAAGCAGAAACGTAAGGTAAATGTGGGAGGGGTGGGGACAGGAACAGAGGGAAACATAGTAAATGTTGGAAGGAAAATAGGAAGGAGACGGAGAGCAAAAGAAAGGGGAAGGACATCCAGAAGGAAGGGGAGGAAGGAAGCAAAGAACAGCCAGAAGAGGAAGAGTAGGGATGGAGACAAAGGAAAGAAGAAAGGGGAAGGAGAAATGCACCTCAATCAGTATTTCTTTTAGTCTACTGGGATTAACAACAGAAGCATGGTATTTTCATTGTGCAAGATATATTCAAACGTAAAGCTATTTATTTTGCTTGCCTCCACAAAATAAGAATATATACACGAGACAGAAAAGACCAAGGGACAATATGTTAGTAAAAAGGTAAATGTAGGGATCCCTAGGTGGCGCAGCGGTTTGGCGCCTGCCTTTGGCCCAGGGCGCAATCCTGTAGACCCAGGATCGAAACCCACGTCGGGCTCCCGGTGCATGGAGCCTGCTTCTCCCTCTGCCTATGTCTCTGCCTCTCTCTCTCTCTGTGTGTGTGTGTGACTATCATAGATAAATAAAAATTAAAATAAAATATTTTTTTAAAAAAAGGTAAATGTAAAAAGAAAAAGAAGACAGAGCTGCTAATAAAGCTTATATTTAGACAGTTACAAAATTCCTTTAAAAACCTCCAACTTTGGGCAGCCCGGGTGGCTCAGCGGTTTAGCGCCTGCCTTCAGCCCAGGGTGAGATCCTGGAGAACTGGGATGGAGTCCCATCAGGCTCCCTGCAGGGAGCCTGCTTCTCCCTCTGCCTGTGTCTCTGCCTCTCTCTCTCAGGAATAAATAAATAAAATTTTAAAAAAACCTCCAACTTTTATAATTAAAAAAATTTAAATATGAAGACTGTGTACTCACATTTAAAGACTCATAACCATAAATACTTGGTTAAAACATAAATAATACACATCTCTTTCTATTTGCTTCTAAAGGTTCTTATGAAAGTGTTAGGAAGATACGGGCAAATAAAATTAAGCAATCAAAACAAAATAATGCTTTAAAATGATCTTGTATTTTAGTGGCTTTTAAATACCACAGGTAAAAATAAGGCTAAAAAAGGTGTCTAAACAAATACAACCTTATTTTTCTTATTTAATATTCAGTAATTAAATAAGTAAAGCTGATGCTGGAAAGAAAATTTTGAACACTCTTTGCTTTCTATTACAAGTGCTACATAATTCCATTTAGTATAAACTACTCAAAAATATTTTACAGCATTTTAATAGAGCAAAAATATAAAAGGACTTATTAGATAATTTGACGATTAGTCTATTTTGATAATTTTAAAATGTGAATTGGTCCTAAGTGGAATCATTCTCCTACTTATAAGGACAATATTCAAATGATAAGAATAAAAATCACTAAAATAAACATTTTTCACAATTTTTTCATACCTTTAGCTAAAGCTTCTTTATATTTCTCTTTGGCAGAATTCATTTCTTTTATTAACTGTCTATAGCTGGATTTTAATTTCTCTAATTCTGTCTTTGTAACCTGTCAAGAAAAATAAAGAACACATTTTAAAAGCCTAAATTTACATTGCTAAGAATTTAAATCCAGAAGTACTATCTGATATATATTTTATTACTTACAGATCAGAGTTGCTCCTTAATATACATTATAGACAATATATTAAAAATCAGTTTAGAAATCAATGATAAAAATTCAACAGCATATGAAAAAAGAAAAAATATTTTTAGAAAATAAGTCAAGAAATAATGCTGCCATCATCTAAAGTTTAAAGATCAATAAATTAATATACTATGTATACAAATATTTACTCTAATAAAAAAGCTAATTTAAATATTTATTTTAATTATACAGAGTAACTTGGAGTTGTTCTAATTTACCAATTCTAGTATGATTATTTTTGATTTGGGTATTTGGGATATTATAATGTCACTTTAAAGATGTGTCTAACGATCACTGTTGGCTACATACATAACAGTGGTCATTACATACATACATGAATTTGGTTATTATTTCTATGGAAAGACTAAACAAATGCAAATCTTTGATTCTATAGTCAAAACCCATTTAAATAGCATTTAAGAAAAAACGGGGGTCTTAGATGGGATCTGAAAAACTGCTAATGTACCTTTGAGAAGACTAAGAAATCAGCAGCATCAAAAACTTGCAAAAGGGGCATAAACAACTTAGAAGAATATTTGAGTCAACTTTTAAGAAACTCGGCACTACCACTGTTCTTGACCGGAGGGTAACATTATATAAAAAAAACGAAAATACCAATAAGCTATGATACAGACATAAATGAGTCTGAACCATTCCTTAAAAAAAAAAAGAGAGAGAGAGAGAAAGAACTCAAGGGAGATCTGAGTGGCTTAACTGGTTGGGTGGCCAACTCTTGGTTTCAGCTCAGGTCATGATCTCAGTGTCCTGGGAGCAAGACCTGTGTCAGGCTCCACACTGTGAAGAGTCTGTTTGAGGGTTTTTTCTCCATCTCCCTCTCCCCCTCAACCTGTTCATTCTCTCTCTCTCTCTCTCTCTCTCTCTCAAATAAATAAATCTTAAAAAAAAAAAAGAAAATTCAGTAATTAACTTTGTTTAATGGACTTTATTTTTTAAAGATTGAGTTTCAGAGCAAAACTGAGTAGAAAATACAGAGATTTCCCATATACTCATGCACAGTCATCCCCCACTAAAGCGGTAAATTTGTTACAATAGATGAACTTGAGATGATACTTCATTATCACCCGAAGTCCACAGTTTACATTAGGTTTTATTCCTGGTGGATTAAATCTGTGGATTTAAACAAATATATAACAACATATATCCACCATTATAGTATCATACAAAGTAGTTTCACTGTCATAAAATCCTCTGGGCTCCACTTATTCATTCCTCTCTCTCCTAACCCCTGGCAACCACTGATCTTTTTATTGTCTCCATAGTTTGCCTTTTCCAGAATATCATACAGTTTAGCATCACACAGCATGTAGCCTTTTCAGAATGGTTTCTTTCACTTGGTAATAACGCATGTAAGTTTGTTTCCTCCGTGTCTCTTTGTGGCTTAATAGCTCATTTATTTGAGCTATTCAATAATATTCCATATTCAATATTCTGTTCATGATTCTGGGTCTTTTGACACTTCATATAAATTGTAGAATGAGTCTGTCAATATCCACAAAATAATTTACTGGGTATTTTGATTGAGACTGTGTTAAATCTAAAGAGCAAGCTGGAAACAACTGGTATCTTGACAATACGGAGTCTTCTCATCCACAAACATGGGATACGTCTCCAATTATTACTTCTTTGACTTCTCTCATTGGAATTCAGTTGTTCTCCTCCTACAGATCTTGTATATATGTTGTTAGATTTATACCTAAGTGTTTCATTTTTGAGGTACTAATGAAAATGGCATTGTGTTTTTAATTTCATATTCCACAAGTTTATTGTTGATGTATAGGAAACTGACTGACTGGGCAGCCTGGGTGGCTCAGCAGTTTAGTGCCTGCCTTCAGCCCAGGGCATGATCCTGGAGACCTGGGATCAAGTCCCGCATTGGGCTCCCTGCATGAAGCCTGCTTCTCCTTCTGCCTGTGTCTCTGCCTCTCTCTGTGTGTGTCTCTCACGAATAAATAAATAAATAAAATCTTAAAAAAAAAAAAAGGAAACTGACTTTTGTACAGTAACAGTGTATCCTGTAACCTTGCCATAATCACTTATTAATTCCAAAGGCTTTTTTGTTGATTCTCTTAGGGCTTTCTACATAGACAGTTATGTCATCTATGAACGAATACAGCTTTATTTCTTTGTTCCCAATATGTATGTATTTCTTTTTCTTGTCTTGTTGCATTGGCTAAGACTACAAGTACAATGTTAACAAGCAACAGTAAAATGAAATATCTTTGACTTGGCTTCTGATGGGAAATTTTCGAGTTTCTTATCATTACACATGATGTTAGCTGTAGACTTTCTGTAGATACTCTTTAGCAAGTTGAGGAAGGATTCCTCTTTTCCTAGTTTACTCATTATGAATGAGTACTGGTTTTGTAAAATCATGTCAAGTGCTTTTCTGCTCAATTTTTGTTTGTTTAACCAAGTCTTTATTTCACTTTTGAAGGACAACTTCATAGGGTATAGAATTCTAGGATCATGGGGGTTTTTTCTCTCAACACTTAAATATTTCATACCACTTCCTTGCCTACTTATTTCTTAGGAGAAGTCAGATATAATTCTTATATTTCTTTTATAACTAAGGTGCTTTTTACTCAGGCTTATTTCAGGATTCTTTTCTTTATCTTTGATTATCTGTAGTTTGAAATTGATATGCCTATGTGTAGTTTTTTGGTCATTTTTTCTGCTTGGTGTTCTCTGAGCTTCCTGGATTTGCTGTTTGGTGTCTGACACTAAGGGAAATTCTCAGTCATTATAATTTCAAGTATCTCTTCTGTTCCTTTCTTTCTTCTCCTTCAGGTATTCCCGTAAATAACATAAAACATGTTATATCTTTTGTAGTTACCACATAGTTCTTAGATACTCTGTTCTTTTTTTTTTTTAATCCTTATTCTCTGCTTTTCAGTTCTGTAGATTTCTATTGATATATTCTCAATTTCAGAAATTCTTTCCTTGTGTCCAATCTCCTATTAAGCCCATGAAAGTCATTCTTCACTTTTGTACATTATCTTTGCTCTCTAAAATACTGGACAATGCTAGAATGCCAGAATGCTTTTTGTTTCTTTCTTAGGATTTCCATCTTTATGCTTCCATTACCCATCTGCTCTTTCATGATTGTTACTTTATCCATTACAGCCCTTAGCCTATTATTCATAGCTGTTTTAAGTTCCTGGTCTGATAATTCCAACATCCCTACTGTGTCTGGTTCCATTTGTGTATTTTTGCCTTTTGGGATCCCTTGTTACTTTTTATTGATTGCTATGCAGGATATATCAGGTAAAAGAAACTGATTATATGGGACTTTACTAATGTGGTGATAGCTGTCAGAAAAGCTATTTTATACCTATTTTAGTATATTAAATAGGTATATTTTATACCTATTGATTCGGTCTCAGGCTGTGCCTCTGGCTGTGAACTTCACACATGTTCCTCAGCTGATGGGCCAATCCCCACTCAAAGAGAACAGGAGTTATGAATTTCCCTTCCCCCAGATTAGTTAGGTTAAGGGTAAATAGTTTCTCCTGAGAGCAGACTTTATTAAGAACGGAATGTGGGCAGCCCGGGTAGCTCAGTGGTTTAGCGCCGCCTTCAGCCCAGGGTGTGATCCTGGAGACCGGGATCGATCCCACGTTGGGCTCCCTGCATGGAGCCTGCTTTTCCCTCTGCCTATGTCTCTGCCTCTCTCTCTCTGTCTCTCATGAATAAATAAGTAAAATCTTAAAAAAAAAAAAAAAAAAAACGGAACGCTTTGGCATATTCATTTGTCTGTCTCTCCAATTTAGGGGGAGCCATTTGCCCTGTCACCTCACTTCTCTTAGAGATCTAAGAAGACTTGGTTTTTCAGTTTTTTCAATTTTTAACTCTTTGTTAGGATGGAGTGACAACTTCCAAACTTCTTATGTGCCACACTGGAAACTGAACTCTTAACTTCTGAAATTGCTAAAGAACCAATTCATTGTTCCCCAAACTGGCTAACTGCAAAAAGCAAGCATTTATCCTGCTTCTTATATGTGACCTATATATCTCAGGGTTGCCAAACACTTGCCATAGGAAAAACTTTTTCTGAAAAATTACAGCTAACAATCACATTAGGAATGACGGAAGCAAAATATTGTCATTTTATAACAACTACCAAAATAATGGATCCAAGCAGCAAACACCAATTAGTTCTAAAAATTATTTGGTGAATGGCTGAAGGAAAACTTTTTTAATAGGTTGATCAGGCTCTCAGCGCCGGAACCTAACAATCAAGTTTAACATCACAAAAGCTAAACAACATTACTTATCTCTGATATGGAAAAAATAAGTCTATACTAGTACCTATAATGTGTTCTTGCCCAAAATAAATAGCCAGAATTTTATCAAGTAGTTTAAGGAAAATCAAAGGATAGAGAAATATGTGAAATAACATCACAAAAATGCTAACAATAAAATAAAATTTAAATTCAGTTCTAGGGGCAGCCCCGGTGGCGCAGCAGTTTAGCGCCACCTGCCGCCCAGGGCCTGATCCTGGAGACCTTAGGATCGAGTCCCACCTCAGGCTCTCTGCCTGGAGCCTGCTTCTCCCTCTGCCTGTGTCTCTGCCTCTCTTTCTCTCTGTGTCTCTATGAATAAATAAATAAAATCTTTAAAATAAATAAATAAATAAATAAATAAATAAATAAATAAATAAATAAATAAACAAACAAACAAACAAATAAATAAATTCAGTTCTATAGAGCAAATTACCCAGTTTCTTCCACAAATAAATGGCATTTTTAAAAAGTTGGGGGGAGGTACCTATAGATTAAAAGAAAACTATTCAAATGCAATGTGTGAGCCATGTTTGGGTCATGATTCAAATGAATCAACTGTAAAATACAAATAAACAATCATTTGAGCATAGTCAGGATTTTTAATGACCTTAAGGAATTAATGTTATTTTTAGGTGGGTTAATGATAATACGGTTAACTTTTTTTTAATGAGTATTTATTTCAGCAATATAAACTAAAATGTTTATGAATAAAATGATAGCAGAAATTTTCTTTAAAATGATTCAGTGTATTAAAAAAATTGGGTGAGTATACATTAAAAAAAAAAAAAAAAAAAAAAAACTGGGCAGCCCAGGTGGCTCAGCGGTTTAGCGCCGCCTCCAGCCCAGGGTGTGATCCTGGGGTCCTGGGATCAAGTCCCAGGTCGGGCTTCCTACATGGAGCCTGTTTCTCCCTCTGCCTGTGTCTCTGCCTCTCTCTCTCTCTCTCTCTCTCATGAATAAATAAATAAAATCTTTAAAAAAAACAAAAGAGGGATCCCTGGGTGGCGCAGTGGTGGGATCCCTGGGTGGCGCAGCAGTTTAGTACCTGCCTTTGGCCCGGGGCGCGATTCTGGAGACCTGGGATCAAGTCCCGCGTCGGTCTCCCGGTGCATGGAGCCTGCTTCTCCCTCTGCCTGTGTCTCTGCCTCTCTCTCTGTCTCTCTGTGTGACTATCATAAATAAATAAAAATTAAAAAAAAAAAAAGAACCTTGACTATGTGGGTGGATCAGTCGATGGGAATTTGTCTTCTCTATTCTTTTGTACATTCGAAATTTCATAATAAAAATATTGTAAATAGTTATCCAGAAGGGACAAACTCTCACTATAAATAAAGTAAAATTTTAAATATCCTAATTTACTTTGTTTAGGTTTTCTTTTTTATTACATGCAAAAATAAAAATCATAAAAACTAGAAGCTATTTCAGTAAGCAAAAAATAAAAATTCTAAGTGATAAGAAAGCACGGTATCATAGTTTAGTTGGCAGCATTCTTTTTCTCTCAGAGGAGTACATAAAGTAACAGTACATCTTATAATCAATCATGTTTTATATTCAATAAGAATATTACTTACTAGAGACACCAAAACTTATTAATCATAAAATGATGACTAAGCAATTTTTAAAAACAAACAAGATAAAATATGTCAGTGAATCTAAAAATCATATTTAAAAAAGAACTCCAGAGTAGAAGGACAAACCTTGATCATTTCCGCCTCTATCTGCTGATGAACACCTATAAAACTTTTCTTCACCTGCTGCTTGTCTTTGATCATCATGGTGAGCCTGTGTAAGGGTCCAGAATTTAGGTCCTCTGCATGTGTCTTCATGATTCTGCTAAGTTGTTCTGTTTGCTGAATCATAAGTAGCCAAGACTTTAAAAAAAAAAAAAAAAAGGTAAAATTAGCAGCTGTATTAAACATTTCCATTTTACTGTGCTTTAGGTATTCAGGAATTTTAAATACTTCATTTTACACAAATTATTACATTAATATAAAAATGCCAGGTTTCTGGCAATCATGCAATGAGCTATGAATGGTTCATATTTAACATCTTCAAGTACAAATACTTCAAAATTCAGTAATCAGACTATGTAATGTTCTACGAAAGGGATTAAGGCTCTTTTAGAATCCACACTTGCAATCTTCATTTTACCACTTCTTGTCTGTCAACATACAGATATAATGCTTCTGCCTACAACATGTTACTGCCTTAGTAAGGTCACCATTCCCTAGTGGTCAATGCAACAGAAATTTAACCATTTTTACTTGTACCATTTGATCTAATCCTGCTGACTCAAATCTTCCTGAAATTCTTCTTTTTCAGTTTACATGGCTTCTCATATTCCAACATACCAACTTGTCTTCTCCTCTTCCTAAAAATCCCTTCTCGATCTTTGTACCTACTTTGCTTTTGCTGCTTATGTCTTAAATACTGGTAATGTCTGGATTTCTTTCCATTCTCATTTCTTAGCATATACCATTAGTTCTCAATGGTTTTTCCAGCACATTTTATTAAAGCAGACATATGTAATGGCGGATTTGGGACAAGTGGGTATATGAATACTCCTGGAAGAACAAGTCATTTGTTGTTAGACATTCTAGTTTCTAGATACTAAAAAAAGTAACTGAGGAATACTCTTCACTAAAGGTCTTCAAAATTCTATCTAGAAACAATTATTGGAGATATATCACGGTCAGGTAAGATCCATGTTAAAGATTAAAAAATTAACAAGGTATGATTTTAAATATTTACTGAAGATTAGAGTAATTTTCTATGCCATTACTTTTGACCTGTGAATGAACAGAATTATTCTTCATCTGTTAATGTTCCAATATAATCCTAAATTAAAATCGAATGAGCACCAAATAAAAATAATAGCCTAAAGGAAGCAAATTCTTAGTCATAATAAGAACTTATCAGGGTCTAACTTGATAATCTTGTTTTGGTACACTGTAATACACATTTTTTAAAAGTTATACTTTGAGGACATTTGTTTAGGGAGAAGGACCATTTGTAGTTGTGGAATGCTATTATGAACATGGAATAAAATGTGGCCTATGAATTCATCACACTTACTTTCAAATTAAAAAATCTAACTACTAATGTGCTCTAGACACCACAAAGCATTAAAATATAAAATTTAGGGGATCCCTGGGTGGCGCAGCGGTTTGGCACCTGTCTTTGGCCCGGGGCGTGATCCTGGAGACCCGGGATCGAATCCCACATCGGGCTCCCAGTGCATGGAGCCTGCTTCTCCCTCTGCCTGTGTCTCTGCCTCTCTCTCTCTCTCTCTCTCTCTCTCTCTCTCTCTCTGTGACTATCATAAGTAAATAAAAAAAAATTAAAAAAATAAAATAAAATAAATATATATATAAAATTTAGGGGATCCCGGGGTGGCCCAGCAGTTTGGCACCTGCCTTCAGCCCAGGGCGTAATCCTGGAGTCCCGGGATTGAGTCCCACGTCAGGCTCCTTGCATTGAGCCTGCTTATCTCTCTGCCCCCACCCCATCTCTCATGAATAAATGAATACAATCTTTTAAAAAATAAAATAAAATATAAAATTTAACAAAGATAAAAACAGCGGGAAAAAAAAAACTAAACGTAGATTAAAAACAAATAAAATGTCCTAGTAACTCTTGTAGCTTTGTTTTTTTCATTTTATATTTATACTATATTATTTTATTTATAAATATATGTATTACATTATTTTATGTATAAATATATATACACAATATCTCTCTAAAAACACATTTCTGGGAAAACATTCCATAGCATATATAGAATGTTAAGGTTACCAAAAAGAAAGTGAGGGGAACAAGTGTTTCATTATCTAGCTTCAAAAAATAAATATTCTCCAAGTGCTTTGTAGGAACAAATTTTTGTAATTCTATATGAGAGTCTTTGCAGCCTAGGAGAAAAGCCTTCTTGGAACCCAACGTTAAAGATAACACAACTAAGTCAGCTTGCCTTCCTCCTCCCAGAATACATTTCATCCTGCCTTAGAGCCCTGTTTACTGTAGTCACTGTGCCAAGTCCAAGCCTTCCAAGATACATATCATCACCCCAATTATCAATCCTATATTCCCTTCAATATTTCCTAATCTAACCCAGGGTACTCTCTAGAGAATCCCATACCCTCAAAAACTCCTGCTCTATTATTAGAAAACCATTTATACCTCTTAACAGGACTTTCCATTTATCTTTTAGTTCTAACAAAAATCTGGCTTTATCTCACTCTCAACATCTATAATATGGCTAATAAATATTCCTTCTCTTTATTCCTTCTCTTTCTAAAAAAGTATCTATTCCTTTGAAGCTCAGGTCACCCTTTCCCAACAATTCACCAGCAAATCTTTCTGATTCTCCCCCCAAAGTCTACCACAAATCCACCCATTTCTTTCCATCTTTGCTGTCAACCCTTTTGGAGGTTACAACTATCTCTGGCTTAGACTATTAGAAAACCTCCAAACTGGTGTCCTCTCTTGTACTCCTGTCTCCCCAACTAGAATGTCTTTTTCCTCACCAATTTAGGTACTTACTGTGATGCCTTAAACAACAGCTACTAAATAGTCCTTGAAAGAAGAAAGGAAAGGAGAAAGAGAGGCAAGGGATATAAACATAAAACCATGAGTTAAATATATGCTGTTAAAAAATGTGTTAATTGTTTAAAACTGGAATTGGATAGCATGGTAGCAATGCCAATTATGAGAGAGAAGGAAAAACTGACAGCCTATCTTCAACTGATAAAACAACTGAGGAGTAAGAGCAGCACATAACACAGTATGAAACACGGCCTAAAAAGAAGGCATGAGTGGGCAAGAAAATGTCTAGATGTTTACAACTTGAATTACATTGGTGGCTAGAATATTTTTGTAAAGAGAGGAGAGTAAAACATTAACAGTTGTTAGTTTGACAAAGTAAAGATGGGGGATCCCTGGGTGGCTCAGCGGTTTGGCGTCTGCCTTCGGCCCAGGGCATAATCCTAGAGTCCCAGGATGGAGTCCCAGGATCGAGTCCCACATCGGGCTCCCTGCATGGAGCCTGCTTCTTCTCTGCCTGTGTCTCTGCCTCTTTCTCTCTCTCTCTCTTATGTCTCTCATGAATAAACAAATAAAATCTTAAAAAAAAAAATAGAGATGCACTTCAACATTCGCAGTAACACAAGCACAGCACTTTGCAGATATGGCTCTTTGGTAGCATAGGAATGGTCAGGGCATAGATAAATTATCTTTGGTCAGGGTAATCTGTACAAGATAATTCTTTGTAACCTAATAAACAAAATACTTTAGACCACTGGCAGGCATTTGAATTGCTTTATTAGACAGAATCTTGCTTCATGGTAATAATTTTATCAATAAAGGTCCTCATAAGGGGAATTTACCAGTAGTCACTGATGCTGAAAACCATACAAGAATTATTAAAAAAATTAAAATATCTAAAGTTTAACTTTGGGAAAAAATTAGTCATAAAGAACAATAATACAATATGAAAACAAAACCACTTTAAGTTTATAAAACAGAATATAAATATCATAAATATTGAGAGATAAGCTACAACATGTGAATGCAGTAATAATGTAAATAAAAAACTAGACAAAAATCCTAACATACTAACAAAAGTCAAGAATGAGAAATTTGATAAAAGTGTAATTGTGTCCATTTCCTAACTTTTCAAATAGAAGAGTCAATAGACAACTTTATTTCTAAAGTTTGTAAATAAAGGAATATAGACATTAAAATTCTTTAAGTTTCAATAAATAGTTAAGTGAATGTGTAGGAAGAAAACATACAATACAGATCTTCTAAACAATCAAAAGTGATTTTGAGAAAAGTTAACATTGTCCATTAAAAAAAAAAGAAACAAAAAATTACTAACAATTAAAAATGAGTTGCAAAATAAAAATTATACCAAACACATCTGTTAAACATTATCTGCTAAACATCTATGAAAAGGAAAGCATTATCAAATTGGGGGGAAACTTCACTACACACAATAAATAAGAAACGTCAATAAAATAAAATAATATACAACAACAGAAAGACAAGTAAGAATTCCCCAGAAAAATGTGAAGGATAAGATTCAGCAGTCATTATGTTCAAATGATTTAAAAATGAATTTTAGACACAAAAAATAAAACAAGGGCAATTATCATGTTAAAGAATATCAATTACAATGAATATAGAACTGTCACGAATCTTTTCGATCCAGAAAACAGTACATCAAAACACACAAAGCAAAACAGTGGAAAATGAAATGAGAAATCAAAAGTAGTGGGAGAATTAAACATATTCATCTCTACCTGTGGCAGATAAGTTTTAAAAATAAATAATACAGAGTATCTGAATAAGTAATTTATTTTTTATATATATATTTTATGTATTTATCCATGAGAGGCACAGAGAGAGAGAGAGAGAGGCAGAGACACAGGCAGAGGGAGAAGAAGCAGGCTCCACGCAGAGAGCCCGATGTGGGACTCGATCCCAGGACCCTGGGATCATACCCCTGAGCCCAAGGAAGACGCTCAACCACAGACCCACCCAGATGTCCCCACCCTAAAACTTTTAGACATTTATCTCCAAATCAAATCCTATCTATTGAAACAATGAAATGAAGAAAAGAAATCAAGCAACCTACCTGTTGTAGGTTCTATTTTCCTAACTGAATCCTAACATTAAAAGACAGCAAATTCTAAGAGACCAATAACCACATGGTTATCATAAATCAATCACCAAAATATCTCCAATAGCGTAAAAAGCTCAAAATGTTTTGCTAATGAATAATTCCAAACATTTATGAATTAGATACCTTTGATACTACTACCTAAAATGTTTCTAAGAAATGAGAATGAAAAAAGCTCTGAAAATCATAGCA